TCACAAGTACAGATTAATAAAGACCAACCTATACAAGTGAAAAAAAAAATGTTTTCTCTTATGTAAGCAATATTTTCATTCCAAATTATGAATGGGCTACTGTGAAAAAAATTATGAGGAATTCAGGAAACCATTTTTTTTTAAATAGAAAATTGCTGGGTTTTTTTTTCTTCTTCTTTTTTTTTACCCCCAATCGCCGTCCAGGGTGAAAATCTTAATTCCAAAACCTTATTGCACATCTTGTGGACACTACCAATCACATTCCAAAATATTCTAAAGAAAGTTCGAGTATATTGTTGTTATCCTGTTTCGTCCGTCTGTCTGTCAGTCCGTGTGTCACACTATCTTCTTCAAAAAAACCCCTACATTTTAAGCAGCAGCTAACTCATCTTTTGGAATATGATTTTTGGTGACCTGTACATGTGCAAAACGATTTTCATTTACAACCTGGGGCCAAATGGGAGTCAAGAAACAATGCTGGTTTACTGAACTCCTTTTACATTTTTCGCAGTAATCCATTCATCCTTTGAAATATGAATTGAGTGTCCCGAAAATGTGCAATAAGATTTCAGAATTTCAATTTTCATCCTGGGGTGATTGGGGGTCAAACAACGTCGTTTTTCTACATAAATCTGGTTTTCTGAACTCCTCTTACATTTTTCACAGTAGCCCATTCAGTTTTTTTTTCATATATGATTGGGAGTGTCCTGTAGGTGTGCAATAAGATTTCGGAATTTCGATGTTCACTCTGGGGGTAATTTGGGTTAAAAAAAAAGAAGAAGTTTTTTTGTTTGTTTGTTTGTTTTTTAACAAAATCCTCGTTCCCTGAACTCTTCTTACATTTTTCAAAGTAGTTCATTCATATTTTGGAACATGCTTGGGAGTGTCCTGTGAATTTGGTTCAGAATTTCGATTTTCACCCTGGGAGGCGACTTTGGGTCAATAAATGATGTTTTTCTACAGAAGCTTGGTTCCCTGAACGCCTCTTACATTTTTTGAAGTAGCACATTCATCTTTTGAAATATGTCTATTGGCATAGACCTTGACTGGGACTGTACAGTTACATGTAGTATGTAAATCAGCAATATACTAGTAAAATGCATAAAACTAGAGTGTTCCAAGGAACGCATGTGTCGCCTGCTTTGTGGCTTCATTATCTATAGTATTAAGCTATTTGCATGATAGTCCATGAAGTAAAAAAGCATCCATAGATAGTATAAGATTGTTATAGTGTCTGAAAATCAAATAAAATATTAACCCCAACCTTCAAATAAATAATTAAATTGAAATTATTATGAATAATTATAATTTTACATGTATTAATACGTGTTTCAAAGAGATATATGACAATGAATACACATGTTAAATAGTAAAAACTTACCTCTTAAATGTCAAAAATATGCTGTATATCGGCACTATGAACTATTTTGTGAAGTAGGTCAAGGTTGAGGGTCAAAAAGTCGGTAACCATGGCAATTTACAAAAACCATAGTGCCAAGCAATATATGTGCAAAATATCAAATCCATTACAGTTCTTGAGATATAAGGTGTGACAGATGGACAGACAGACAGACACCGGGTAAATTGATCCCTAAGTGTCTCTCTGCTCTGGGAGACACAATAAATCTTATCTGTATTGATGTTTTTGTTTTGTTTTTGTCTTTTTTTTTTTTTTTTTTGGTTTTTGTTTTTGTTTTGTTTTGTTTTTGTTTTTTAGGGGGGGGGGGGGGGCTACTGGTTTGTTTTTAATGGTGAATGAAAATGTTATGCATATTTCCTCTAACATAATATATCTTGGCTACTTAAACATAATAAAGCAAATTTTGATATGTCTCAGGTTGAGCGAAATTCATTTTGAAAGCATCTTTACAAAAATCTTGCAATTTTATTCTTGTTTACATTATTCATGCGTTCATTAATTTAATTTTGATATTTGAGTAATTAAGTCCCAAACCAGAACAAAATAAAACTCCAGAGATGTTTTGAACGTGAAAAGACAACCGAAATTAAGTGTTGTTGACAGACTAGATTGGGAAATACATGGAAATAATTCATTCAACTATTTCATCTTGGTCTAATATAATGCTAAGAATGGTTACAAACTGTGTGTTACATCAAAGATTTCATGCAGTTTTAAAGGGCTAATCACTCTAACTGCATAAACATGCCCTTCAGTATGCATTGTATTGAGGGTTCTTAATTAAAGTACCTGCGATGAACTGTGTGTAGATTTACATTCATGTATAAGCAATGTATAAGTTACAAAATTACATATATTTTATTTCCTACATATACAGAGTAGTGATAAATTCCTATTTCCTAATTTTCTTTAAATTTACTTACCGGGGCTTATCAGACATCCGCAGAAGACTTTAGGTAAGTATTGGTTTCCATACGAAAATAAATGAATGTCCAATGACCACTGGCTAACGAGACTGGTCACTGTGTTAAAATAGGTAACGTTTGACGAAGATAAACGTTGATTTACCTCTGTTTAGGTATGTTTTATTTATAGTAATATATTAATACATAAGTATACGTTATACTTTTCACATCTCATACATAGAGATTTGCTATGTTATACAGAAAATATAGAAAAGGACATACTGAGTTTACGTCCAGGTCAACCCCATCCGGACATTTGTTTAAACATAAAACTATGGAAGAACAGACGGGTTTTATTTCAAGGTTTAGCTATAGTCCTGTATTCTCCTAAACTGGGATGGATAAATGAGAGAGATTATACCATACAATTAAAATACTTAAAATAGAATTTATTTATAATTTAGGTTTAGAAAAGAACTGCGCCGTTTCAAAATTAATTCTTCGATATCTTTTAATTTCCCACCCCGTATGGGTTATTAACAATTGTGAACCTGACATTATTCCAGTCAGTGGCATATATATTCCATATACAGGCAAAAAAGCTGTAGTCGACACATCATTTTCTCAAGTTGTAAAAATTAAGTATATATTAATACTCTAGTATGATTGAAAAGGGGAAAAAATGGTCAGAAAACTTGACCATTATTTTGTTTGACGTCAAATGCGAAAAAAATGTTCTAAGCAAATTTAATTTTATTTATTTACATGTAACAATGAAATAAAAGTTGTTTACGGAATATATTTTTGTTTTATTAGGAAAATGTATTAAAACAAAGTATTGTTTGAAATCAGATTATTCAAAAGGGAAGTTTCTATATTATCTAAGCACTACAAAGGGTTGAATTGTGCAGGATTAAAGTAAATTTCTCAGTTTTGTTAAGTGATCATGACAATTCTATTTTCATGATTGCTAAAAAAAAAATAAAAATATATGATTATATTACTATTTCACTGGTCAAATAACAATCATGGATGTCTTTCAAGTTTCCAGAAAATTTCAAAGGTTAACACCATCTCTTTTTATCTGATGCTTACACCAGAAAACATGCTTAAAAACAAAATATGAATAAAGAACCCAAATGTAACCTTTTTTTATTTAATTATTTTATAAATTCGCCTCATTTTGTTTTTCCGATTTTTTTTGTTGGTGGTTGAAGACCCCGACCTCTCCCCTCAAGAGGCGTGACCCCTTCTCATACTTACACTTCGTGCCTGGTGAATATCAGCCTACACTTTAACAGGAAGGATCGAATATACGTCATTGCCTGCTTAACCCTTTGAATAATCAAAAGATTCAAATGGCTTAAACCTGAAATTGAAATAATCGAAATTTGCCTGTTAAACATTAATTTTTGAGTAGCATTAAAAATTACAATGTGCATATCAAAATACAATGTACAAATATTTTTTAAAGGAGCATGGACTTATTAGATTTAAAGTTTATCATCTTCAAAATTTGTGTTAAAATTTCATGACTTACATATTGTAAAAGCGTTTGAAAAAAATGTTTAGAAATTTATTTTATCAGAAAAATATAAAAACTAGTGATAGTCGAATTTTGGCTTCTTTGTTTAATGAAATATAAATTATCCTTCATATTCAAGGAAAGTGGGAAATCTGAGATGTATTCATATAAGATCTTAAACATATTAACAAGAAAAATCAAAAAAGGAATGTAAGAAAGTAAAACAAACACAACAATCAATTGTGGTAGTTTGTGGCCATTGATGTGAGTAATGTCAGTAAAATTCGAAATCGATCGGTAAAACGGACAGAGCTCGAACAAAGACTATGAAGAATGTCATTAAACTGTTTTTCGTTCAAATAAAAATTTAAATAAAACAGCAATGCATGTGTCCCCACTCCCCCTTAAAATATATTTAGACACCCCTCCCTAAATTAGGGTAGAGGCTATAGCATTTACCAGGATACCTTGACTTTTAAAATACAGCTGAACTTCGGTATCTCGAACACTGATATCTCAAATACCATGATCTGGGATATGTCGAAGTAATTTGAAAGTCCCAAACCTCATTCTTTAAGTATTTTACCCTCGACATCTCGAATCCTCGGATATCTCGAAGTTTTTTTCTCGGTCCCATCGAGTTCGAGATAACGAGGTTTGAATGTATATACATTTGTAAGAACGACCATTACTTTTCCATAATAATTTCCAAATAATATTTACATCTTTACCCAAGTTTTGTCTCGGATTTCAATTTTACACCCTAGACGACTCAGTATTAATTAAATCCCAAACGACTTTATCCCGCTGAGGGCCTTTGCAAGATTTGTTAAGAGTTCATTACATAATAAATAAGATATAATTCAAATATCATTGAACATTATATATTTTCAGTATCAACCCTTTCACATGTCATATACGAACTTAATCACACCTGCTCGGAGACGGTGTAATAGAAGAATAGTAGAAAATTTCAGGGCGTCATGTGATCTGTTTTAGCCAATCAGTATCTCTACAAATTTGTCTAAGGCGGCATAAATATTAAGTTTTCCATAAAAAAATCTAAATATTTACATCTCTATCTCAATTTGAAGATTTTATATTTAATGACTTACTAACAGTTTGATTCCATTTTAAGCGGGTTTTAATGAAAGAAGATGGTGATACCAGTGGTTGACTTTGCGGCATACTCCTTGTCCGTCCCAGCAGAGAAAGCAGACGTTCAGAAACTCCGTAGTATCGCAGACGAACTCCGTCAAGCGTTTACAACTGTTGGATTTGTTTATCTAAAGAATCATGGATTACCACAAAATGTTGTAAGTGTTTTCCTATGTGCTGTTGAGGAAAGTATAAATTTATAACTATGAATGTAAATTAAACCCAGAATTCCACTCTAAACAGGAAGTACTAGTGGTTTCGTCTTCTCATGTAGAATTTTAAAATAAATTCTGCTTCATTTAGGAATATAAAGACAGATCGGCTAATAAAGTAGCACAGTTAGTGCCCATTAGAATTCCAACAGTTTGATGGAAGACCTGGTTTTGTTGATGTCCAATCACAAGATATGAAAATTTCTAAGTTCCATATTTATGAAAGAAGCAGTTGTCTATGATATCAAAAAGCCTAGTTTTTAATTTATCGTGGAATGTTGTATAAAGTGTAGAAAAGTTATACGTTTTGATGTTACTAACTTTCGAACAATTTTGTGATTTTAAATTTTTCTAAACGTTCTGGAGTTTTTAAGAATCCACATTTGATTTACACCTCTTCTAGAATATGCCGTAGCACAGTACATCTGAAGTTTCTTCTCTTTTTTGTGAGGAGTAAAGATAGAAAGGGCTGGTAGAACACTTGCTGGACCCGGCAATGTATCTTTGTAAGGATTTTTATGAAGTTTCTAGAAAACAACATTATTTCTTTTTTATTGTGGTTTTTGTTTATTTTTTTTTCCTTCAGGCCCATTCTTTCTATAAATATTAATGTTAATATGCTTTTATCTGAATTTCGGTTTAGATCAATTATTTTTGAGGAAATGTAGTATATGCTTCTATGTTTCTTTCACAGATTGAAAACACATTTGCCATTTCGAAGACATTCTTTGAGAAACCAGTAGACGTAAAACAGAAATATGAAAGGCCTGCGGACGAGAACCATGGATGGGTGTCTCTGGAGAGGGAAAAGTAAAAGATATTTTTAGATACCATAAAAACAAATTTCTCAATTAAAGAGGCTGGGGGTTGTGGCCATTTTTAGACTATATTGATCTCCTTTAGAAGAAGAGCTCCATATGAAGATATAGAAAATGATCAAATTTTAAAACTAAATTTTTTTAAATTTTTCTTTGCCAAATGATAGTTGACAGGTTAAGATATCATATCTAAAAAATTAAGTTAAATCTGGTGGTAAATTTGTGTTAATTTGTTGACCCCCAGCCTCCTTAAAAGTTTATTTCTTTTCCTTTTGTATAATTCACAATGTTCGTTACTTTTTAGTTTGAATCCAGAGAGACCAGCAGCTGATTTGAAAGAAGCATACAATATGACGTTGGTAGATGACCAAGGAGTAAGTTTACTCGTTATCATAAAGAGCAAATCCAGGTCATGAATGAGCATATACACAGATATATCCATTATAGCTGTAAGAAACAAACAGAACGAAAAATTGGTGCAGCATTTTAAAAGAAAATTTGAACGTTATGTTTGTTAAAATTTCGAGAGCAAATTGGTGATTGCTTCTAAATTATGACAATTTCTAATTTTCATTTTGTTTTTATTTATATGCTATGAACATATCATTCGGTCATTAATGAAAATTTAACTTAAGAAACATTATCTTAATTTGGATTATAAACCCCAAATGTTGGTGATTGTTAATGAAGTTGGTATTCAAAACATGAAATTGACAGTCATTCTCTGCCAAAAGGTATGTACATACCAAATTTAATCTAGATATGCGTGTTTCAAATTTCAAATAATATTTTCAGACCATGCCTTTGGATATACTCCCAGACTTCTACAAAGTGTTCAAAGAAATGTTTACATTATCACAAGAACTAGGAAGCCGCGTCTTGGATTTGATGTCTATTGGTCTGGAAATAGTATGTAGATTACTTCTCTGAATTTTGGGGTAAAAGAATTTAGGAAAAAATGTGTTAAAACTGTCTAGTTATTTTAATAATTTATATTAAATAACTCCAGGACCAAACATTCTTAAGGCAGTGTCACCAGAAGATGGGGAGAAAGGGAAACGCCACAACATTACGATCCCTGTATTATCCACCGATTACTAAAGGTAGGAATTCTCGTCGTCAAAAAATGATAGTTGACACGTCATATTGGGTATCCTTATGAATTATCTTTCAGGGAATTACAATATATGTGAGAGCAGTTCGGTGTTTAATTATCTTTTATCCCTTTATAAGGGATTCGTATGAACAAAGAAATAAAGCATTTTATTGTTTAATTCGCTTCCTTGTAATAATCATTACAGGTGTTAAGCCGGGACAGGTGCGGTGTGGTGAGCATTCTGACTACGGTTCCATTACACTCCTGTTTCAAGATGATGTCGGAGGATTAGAAGTAAGGAACATGTTTTTTTTTTTTGCACAATTTTAGAAATATATTCCTGTACATACAACAAGGTTTCAAATGAATTGACGAGGTAGAAGTGTAAGGAAAAAAAAACAACTTTTCGGAAATGAAAGATGTTTGATCTGTACAAATGCATTTTCTTTTTAAATACAGATATGCATGAGGTGCATTTATTTTCAAAATATATTTAAAAATAAAATCTACCGGTAATGTTGGAAAAGTATGTTCTTTATAATGTACAGTAAGAGCACAGCTTTTACACAGAGTGTGCTTTCAGGTAAAACCAATGGGGTATGATTACGTGCCAGCTTCTCCGATACATGGTACAGTGTTGGTTAATTTAGGGGATCTAATGCAGCGATGGACGGCAGACAAACTTATTGCAACAGTAGGTCGATTAAATTACACAAAACGTAAATGAATTGTTATGGCATGTCAAACGTTGCAATATTCGATCTTTTCCATTTGTATTGTATAACTTTCCATTTGTATTGTATAATTTTTATTTGTATTGTATAATTTTTCATTTGTATTGTATAATTTTTCATTTGTATTGTATAATTTTCAATTTGTATTGTATAATTTTTATTTGTATTCTATAATTTTCCATTTGGATTTTATAATTTTCCATTTGGATTGTATAATGTTTATTTGTATTCTATATTTTCCATTTGTGTTGTAAAAAAAAATCATTTGTATTGTATAATTTTTCATTTGTATTCTATATTTTCCATTTGCATTGTATAATTTCTTATTTGTATTGTATAATTTCTTATTTGTATGCGATAATTTTTCATTTGTATTGTATCCGAGGATTGTTTATTTATTTCGTTACGAAGGATGTCATTGGTCATAAAATTTAGTCTGTATAAAGGTCTCAGGTGCCATCACAAACTTAGTCTGGTACCCTTCCCACAATTCCGATCGCGTACTCTCTACAAACACAAACTCGGCTCCTCTATTTGCGGTGCATGCTAAGGGACGACCATTTGATTCTCGGGGGGGGGGGTGTTGAATCCGATTATTTATTTTCATTCTCTCGCAGGAGAGAATATTTATTTCCAATATGACCAGAGACAAGGAGAAAAACAAAAAGAAGAAAATCCGCCCAAACCCGAAAACTCAGTTTTTTGGGAGTGGGGGTAGTTACCACCACTCAAGGTCAATTTATTTATTTTCTCAGTCAGTATTCCTAAGGACAGATTATTTATTTGCCATCTACCAGCGCTCCCTTTTTAGAATCCAGTGACCGTCTAACATGCACGCAAATACATATGCCGCCGAAATATGGCTGAAATATTGCCGACTCGGCGTTAAACAATAATCAATCAAGCAAATACATATGAGCCCAGTTTGCTTTGAGCATCCGGAACATCTTCAACCCGATACAGGCTGAAACTTGACCAATGAAATCCTTCGTAACGAAACAAATAAACAGTCCGCGGATACAATACAAATGAAAAATTATCGCATACAAATAAGAAATTTTACAATACAAATAAGAAATTATACAATGCAAATGGAAAATTATACAATACAAATAAAAATTATACAATACAAATGAAAATTATACAATACAAATTAGAAAATTATAGAATACAAATAAAAATTATACAATACAAATGAAAAATTATACAATACAAATAGAAAATTATAGAATACAAATAAAAATTATACAATACAAATGAAAAATTATACAATACAAATAGAAAATTATACAATACAAATAAAAATTATACAATGCAAATGGAAAATTATACAATGCAAATGCAAAAGATCGAATATTGCAACGTTTGACATGCCATAATTTGTAGTAGTTGGATTTTAGAGAATTGTAACCCGATTGCTCTGCGAACTGAATTGTAACCTGATTGCTATGCGAACTGAATATTCTCAGTAGAAATAATTGCTTTAACAGAAACATCGTGTCCTGATTCCTGAGAAGGAAGTTACACAAAAGAAGGGGAGACAATCTTTGGCATTTTTCATTCATCCGGACGATGAAGTAATGATCAAGTGTTTGGATGGTTCTGGGAAATATGAGGAAATATCCAGCATTGATTATCTGAACATGCGTTTTGCTGCGACCTATTAACAACGACAGACTTAGAGAGGGACCAAATTATACTGAAACATTTTATGATGACATGTGCAATTTATGTTCAGATGTATATAAAAACTATAATATTTACAACAAACAAGAAGCCCAGGGGCCACATCGCTCACCTGAGCACTCTGGCTAGGAAAAAGCAGAAATCAGTTCAGTCTTGAAAAGTTTAAATATAAAACTGGTTCGGGGGGAGGGGATCATGATTTGTACAAATTTGAATCTACATTACCCGATGATGCTTCCATTTAAATATGACTAATCATGGCTTTGCTGTTCTTGAGTAGAAGATTTTTAAAGACTTTTCCTATGTTTTCTTATGTAAAACTTTGATCGCCAATTGTTGCCCCACCCTACCCCCGGGGATCATGACTGGAACAAACTTGAATCTACACTACCTGAGGATGCTTCCCTATAAATATGACTAATCATGGCTTTGCTGTTCTTGAGAAGAAGATTTTTAAAGATTTTTCCTATGTTTTCTTATGTAAAACTTTGATCGCCCATTGTGGCCCAACCCTACCCCCGGGGGTCATGATTGGAACAAACTTGAATCTACATTACCTGAGGATGCTTCCCTATAAATATGACCCATCATGGGTTTGCTGTTCTTAAGAAGAAGATTTTTAATGATTTTCCTATGTACATGTATTCCTATGTAAAACTTTGATCGCCCATTGTGACCCCACCCTTCACCCAGGGGTCATGATTTGAACAAATTTGAATCTACACTACCTGAGGATGCTTCCATATAAATATCACCCATCATGGCTTTGCTGTTCTTGAGAAGAAGATTTTTAAAGATTTTTCTTATGTATTCCTATGTAAAACTTTGATCCCCCATTGTGGCCCCACCCTAGCCCCGGGGGTCATGACTGGAACAAACTTGAATCTACATTACCTGAGGATGCTTCCCTATAAATATGACCCATCATGGGTTTGCTGTTCTTAAGAAGAAGATTTTTAATGATTTTTCCTATGTACATGTATTCCTATGTAAAACTTTGATCGCCCATTGTGACCCCACCCTTCACCCGGGGGTCATGATTTGAACAAATTTGAATCTACACTACCTGAGGATGCTTCCATATAAATATCACCCATCATGGCTTTGCTGTTCTTGAGAGGAAGATTTTTAAAGATTTTTCCTATGTATTCCTATGTAAAACTTTGATCCCCCATTGTGGCCCCACCCTACCCCTGGGGGTCATGATTTGAATAAACTTGAATCTACACTACCTGAGAATGCTTCCATATAAGTTTCATATTTTCAAGCACAGTGGTTTTTGAGAAGAAGATTTTTAAATGATGCCATTAATTTTTCATGAATTCATAATTATCTCCCCTTGGAAGAAGGCGTGGCCCTTCATTTGAACAAACTTGAATCCCCCTTACCCAAGGATACTTTGTGGCAAGCTTGGTTGAAATTGGCCCAGTGGTTCTTGAGAAGAAGATGAAAATGTGAAAAGTTTACGACAACGACGACAGACAACGGACAAATTTCAATCAGAAAAGCTCACTTGAGCCTTCGGCTCAGGGGAGCTAAAAGGGACCATTTTATATACTTTATATGATACCGATATTATGTGTGAATAAATATTATAAACAGTGAATTATAAACTCATAAATGGAAAATTTGTTTACTTTTTACTAAAAATTTTATATAACTATTTATTGATTATATGTTTGATATTGGCATCAACTTAGGGTGTTACGTATACATGTAGTTATTTTAATTTTAGAAATATTTTATTCACGAAAGTGTACCATATTTTTGACTTAAATCACTATAGTAAAAAAAATATTCAAAATTATGGATCGTATTAGATAATTTAATTTTCTTTTTTCTTTTTTTTTTTTAACGAATCACAGACTGGAGAAATTACTATTTCAGAAAGTTTTTTCGTGAAAAAAAAATGGTGGAAGTACTATTACTGGTATCATCAAAATATTTAAGACCGGAATATTTAAATCATAGATGGATTCCCGTGAGAAGAGAGAGAGTGAGAGAGATATTTAATTTCCAGGAAATGAGCCTTAGAAACATTTCATTTCAGCATACTTTTAGTAAATGTTATTTCAGCTTGGAGGGCTAGTTCTAGATTTAATGTCCATTGATCAAATAAAACAAGTATGAAACTGAAAAAAATGTACAAGATGAAATGTAAAAAATGTTTCACACACGACGCAAAAGTGTTGGTGTCTAGCTATAACATATTCTAGAAAAATGAGCGTCTGGAAACTGTCCCAGCAGGTTGTTATTTTCTTAGGTATATTATATACTGTTACTTCTAATTTACGTTATTGCAGAAACTTGAAATCCAAGTTCTCTATTTAACATCTACTGGTCTCGAAATACAATTTACTGAAAAATACATCATTTAACATTATTGACCCCCTCCCCTTGGCTGTGAACGAACTTCGCTGTTAATATGCCTAACTTACCATTTCTACAAGTTAGAATTTATAAGAAACAAATGAATATCACAGTAATACTAAAATGACTGAGTAATCATGAACATATAAATGTAATAATGCACATTCACAATCCCAACAACAAAATTGATCAAATATTGTTGCAAAGGAAATAGGGAAACACTTAATGCATCTTTTATTTCTCAATTTAACGAAGTTCTTTATCATTTTTCTGAGTTTCACAATAGAGCCAAATATGCTAAAAAAAATTACATTTTTAAAATTTGGACCAAAATCAATTAGATTATTTAAAAAGTTGCACGATATTCAAATAGGTGTAACATATAACGTAATCAAACAGGCTTGGTACTTGAATGTGGGCGTCAATTTTTTGCATCCGTTTATACACGTTCGTACTTATTATTGATTATACAGTGATTGATATACTACATAATATATGCAAAAAGTTCATGCTATATCACCCCCCACCCCCACCCCACTCCCATCCACCCCCCAAAAACAGTGGAAATTATATGCTTCTATACTGTATACATGATATGTTATTCAACCGTATTAAATCACTTACCTAATCGCAGATATTCATCTCGTTTCGGATAAACTTCCACCAACTAAAATCTGTCATAAGCACAACAAAGCTCCGACATTCGTTGCCACCTATTGAAATTGTGACGTCATAATGAACTTGACGTCACATGAGTTTCAATTTTGCAGAAGCCCCCACAGTGGAGTACATAGGGAAGTTTCTCTCTCCCCCCCCCCCCCCCCCTCATGCCCTCATTCAAAATCAGATTTCTCCCATCAAAACAAAAATAAACAAACAAACAAACAAAAATCAAACAAACAAAAAACCAACAACAACAACCACCAAAAAAAAGCTCTAAACTGATTTGCAACTACAACATATATTTTTTTCCCTTAAAAAATAATTTTTAAGAGTTTTAAATATTTTAAAGGAGTCATATAAAGTATTGAGAAGCTTAAATCGGTAAATATACTCCCCAACTTTAAGTCTCCAAAACTTTGTATACGGAAATATTTCGTATAAACAAATTGCTTAAATTGAAATTGTCGTATGAAATAGGTAAATATAACGAAGAATGATCAATGCCATAAACGATACACCAAATGTAAACAGGACAAACAAGGACCTCTGGGAAAACTAGAGGCGGGAACAGGTGCCTAGAAGGATCCACTGTCGACCGGTCTGTTTAAAAACTGATTGGACGAGTTCAGAATATTGCGTATCGAATCAGACGGGAGACATTTACACCATACGCAGGTGATAGTGAAATAGAGGAAATTGACAGTGGAAAAGTTGAAGTCGCCCCGTTTGTCATATATAATTTACTTGTTAGTTTGCCATTAACGTCGGTAAAATATATGAAACAGATGTGACAGACTCTGTGGTGTCTCACTGGAATTTATCGAGTCGACATATAAATTTTATTGTTGAACAGAAGGAGTTTTTTTCTTATCATGTAGAAGTTTTGAGCAAATTTTGCTCTATAAGAATATAAAACATGCCTGTTAATATTAAAGGAGCACAATTAGCACCCATTAGTAATCCAACAGATTGTAGGAGGCTCTGGTCCCCAAAGAGTACATAGATATTGTCAATGATGCATGAACTCCAACATTTTCCTAATATAAACTTCAAGGTATTTTTGCTTAGAATCGGAATGATTTTTAGCACAGTAATTTTGTCGATGACCAATCACAAGATATGAACATTTTCTTATTCCATTTTTATGGAAGAAGCAGTCAAAATTAAAAGAATTAAAATTAAAAAATTAAAGCTCGGTCCTTAATTTATTGTGAGGAATGGTAGTATACAGTGTTGAAAAGCCTTGTTATTGATTTAAGGAGGTTGGATCCTGCCATCAAAAGTAATGAGAATTTTTTATCAAGTATATTTTTAGAATTTAGACACATAGCTTAATTAAAAATCAAAACAAAAAATGGGGGTCAATGCGCTTCTTTTGGCGCTACAGAGCATTTAGTTTGACCTTTTTGCACTGTAAATACATCTTACACATAAATCAATTTTTAAAGTTTTTCCTACAATATTTTTTATTCAAATAAATTATGGGAACAAACACAGCCTTATTTCATCTTGAATAGACACATTAAAATTTATGACAACGAAAAAATTTTCAAATTACTCCGCATGTTCAATTATTTGTCCTTTTTACACTCAAAAAATTTCATTTTTCTGGCATTAAAAATCTAACAAGAAAAAAATAATTTGAAAGTAATGACATTTTACTGAATTCAAGAAGAATGGTTAAAAGTATCTTATATATTCAGAAAATAAAATAAAAAGTGGGGGTCTGTGATGTTAAATTTTAGATATTACTAAAATAGTGCTAATTTTAAGCTTAAAATAGGGATATTTTTTTCTTGATTTTCACAATATATTTGCTATATTTATCAAATATGATGATAGAATTCATGACAGTTTATTTGATATATATAATTTAGGACCAGTATAAAACAGTTCACTGTACAAAATAACTCTGTGTGCAGGCTGCATGGAAAGATAGG